AAGACAAAATGAACGTCAAAGAAAAAGTAATTCGAGGCAAAACTTCACGGATGAACAAAGACAAAATGAACGTCAAAGAAAAAGTAATTCGAGGCAAAACTTCACGGATGAACAAAGACAAAATGAACGTGAAAAGATACTGAAATTGAGACAAAACTTCAGTGTAACACAGAAAGAAAATGATAAGTTAAGAAAGAGACGTGCAAGACAAAATTCTACGAAGGAATACCTCGAAATGGATATCATTACGCATAAAAGCTCAAAGATATCGGGTGAGTTTTTCTCCCGTGAAGACTTTCATTCAATAATTTTATATCAAATATTCAACTGTTTATAACCTGTTCGAGCTAGTATGATTATACAAATGAGCTTAAATTTATGTTGTTGAGAGATGTTATTGTATAAAAACCTAGAATTTCACTTTAAAAAGCTAAAAAAATATTCAAAAACATTTACAAATGCCAATTTACTGACAAAGAATTTCGGCATCATTTTGTATTTTTCTCGACGAATCGACAAATCAAAGACTTTCTCTCAAACTTTTGATATTTCTATAGATAAGCTTGATTTTATTTTAATGCTGGAGGAAATATAACACGAAGAGCATATTACGACAACATATATTCGTCCTATATTTAGCTTTGTAAATCTTTAGCAATTCGGTTGTTCTTAACCAACTATCGTATATGTTTTTCGTTCAAGAAAGATTCTTCTCATATCATGAATATTTAATGAGGAGAAAACAAAGCAAATCGCTACTGTGACGGTAGTTTGGAAATGTGTTATTAATTTGCATTAAATTTTCGTAAACTTTTCCTTTGATTTTCTCCAAGAAATATTCATTAGTTTGAGAAGTAATTTCAAACACTTGAGAGAGTTCTTCCTTCGATTTCTAAACACCTCAAACTCAGTTAAAAAAACTCGGCTGCGCCTCGTTTTTTCAACTCACTTTTCGGTGTTTGGAAATCGGAGGAAGAACTCTCTCGCGTGTTTGAAATATTACGTTTGAAATATAAATTTACACCAAATATTCAACTGTTTATTAAGCTGTTCGAGCAAGTCTGATGAGCTTAAAATGTGCTTAAATTTGTGTCGTTGAGAGATGTTATTGTAGAAAGACCTAGACTTTCACTTTAAAAAGCCGTAAAAAATATTCAAAAACATTTACAAAAGCCAATTTACTGACAAAGAAATTCGTCATTTTGTATTTTGCATTGCCTTTATTTTCTATTTTGTCTCGGTTGTTCTTGTCAAGTTTAACTGAATGTAAACTTCGTCTCGTTCTGTAAAAGACGTAATTATTAAAGTAAGCTTACATTTTGCTCACCTTAACCAGTTTCCAAGTCTGTTTTTTGGTCTTGATATGTCCTAAATCTCCAGATTTTCGATTTCGGGTGGTGGTGAGTTGTGTACAAAATTCCTAAGTGGGAGAGTATGTACTCGCGCAAAAAACAAACAAACAAACAAAAAAACAAAACAAAAACAAACAAACAAACAAACAAACAAAAACAACAAAAAAACATGAAAAAACAATGTAGTGCATTTCGATTCGATTTCACTGCATGGTTTTTATTATGGGAGAAATTATCTTCATAACGCATAAAAAATAATTGAAGATTTTTATCCCCGATCGTATTCTTACCTTTCAGTTTCATTCAAATTGTTCTCCCTGTGACTTCCGTATCGGGAGCTCCGCTTTTAGGCAGTGCCTAAATATATATATTAGTGAAATCTATAGTAAATGGGGGAAAAAATTATAGTGACATCTATAGTAAATGGAAAAAAATTATAGTGAAATCTATAGTAAATGG